AAACAAACCCTTTCCTTGCTGCTGTGTCTTCTAGCTTGCTTGCTTCTAAATAACCCTCAGTACTAATATTTTTTCTTGGAAGAGTTAAGTACTTCTATTCTGCTCCCACTGAGGACAACCGTGTTGTGTTTTTGTTAATACTTCCTCCAAATCTCTCTGCAAAGCCTTCTAGTAATGTGTAAAGGGAGCTGTGGTCTCTTCCTCTTGCATGCTGAGTTTATTGTACTGTGTATGAATCATCTTTGTTGCTGCCCTTTGAGGACTGTTTCACGAGTTGAATTTTCAACAGTCAAACCAACTGATACTCAGCTCTGTTTATTGGATCTTTATGCCTGTCCAATTTTTCATGCAATGAGTGATTTATGTCCTTCCTACAAGACTATGCAGCATTTTATTTAACTGAGTCAGTTTATGTTGTGCTTCCAAATCTTTAACTTTTGTTTCCAGAGGAGTATATTCATCAAGCCACTGTTTTTCTCTCAGCATAGCAAAGGTTATAATTCACTCCTTAGGGCCTCCCACTAAGTTCACAGGGAACTATTATTCCTAAATTTTCAGAGACTCTTTTTTTGCTACTTTATTTCAAAGTGGACTTTTCCTAATAAGGAGTTATTTAAACCTCACTTTTCAGTAGGGGAATGTATGGAAGAAAACATTAACACCAAGAGAACTGGAGCATGACTTGAATGAGAAGAGGGACAGCAGAAGGATCAAGCCAGACAAATACAATCTGACAGCAAACATGATGATGGGGGTGCTGGGGAAGGACACTTCATGTGTTAAAGTCCTTTATGTTAACCCTTACAGAATTATGAGATCTTACAGTTAGGTCTTACAGAACCTCAAGGTGATCCTCAGCTTTGCTTTCATTCCTTGTCACACTCCTAATACTTTTGCTTTTGCTCCCTTAATTTCTCACTCTTTTTCTTGCACTTGTCTTTTCTGCAGTTATCTTTTGCGTCCCAGATGGACTATCCCACTCTCCTCCCCCCAAGCCCTTTTGCCTGCCAAGATCTCACATCTTTCAAATTCCTCCCTAAAACCTACTTCATCAGGGAATTTTCACTCCTTATCCAACCCAGATGCCTTTCTTCCTCTGAATATTTTTTCCATATCTTCTCTTGTCTGTCTTAAGACCTGGATATCTGGCAGTTGAGGATTATCTGTAATTTTCTTTCTTGAGACAGAATGAGAATTCCTTACAGCTTCACTATTTTGACTAAATAGCCTGAGGGTCCCTCTATCCTGCTGTTGCCATTCAACAGCTTCCCTCTCTTAAAAAAAAAAATAGTGTTTTGGGGCAGGGAGAGGGCAGTGATGGCCTCAGTGATTGCAAGACAATGGCTTTAAGGACCTTGGGTATCTAGGACTTGCTTTTCTGTATGATATAAAATTGTCTGAAACAGATAACTTTCAAAGAAGACTGCAAAAGCATCTCCTTGGTCACATTTTCATGAAAACTAAAGGTATGGACTCAAAAAAGTTAAGGGGATAGAAAGGTCATTGACTGGAAAAAGAAATAGTCCCAGTCAAATCTGCTAGGATTGTGCTGTAGATTTTTTACTCAGGCACCCACTGCCTTGGAGAAAGATAAGAAAGATATCACTGTTTCAATCCAAACATAAAATATAAATTTAGTATTTGCTGCTGACCAGAGCAGTCAGTTTTCAGGAGCTTTGAAAGGAAATGCAGCAAGCTTAGTTCTCTTGTTAATTTTTATTCTCTGTAAAATGCTGACTACAACTTCACTAACATTATAAGCAATATTTACACAGAGATCAACCATTGCTCTTCTCGTTTTTCATCCCAGTAAATTTCAGTGGTCCTGTTTTGGCATGTGACAGGAGTAATGATAGTTATCCAAGCCCAGAAAGAAAGGGACTCCTTAATTACCTGTGTAATATTTGCAGAGTTTAAGTCCTCATTTACTCCTGCCCGGACTGGGTGATCACACGCCACCGTATCCATGTGCACATATAATGCAAAGACATAGCAAGATATTTCACGGTCAGATGGAGTCTTTAAGACTATGAACACAGTTACAAACAGTCTTAATTGTGAAAGGACATTTCTTGTACTCACAGAGAGATTGTATTAGTACTAATAGCATGTGCATTGTGGAGAGAAGTCCACTCCTGACCTTGACTCTGAGTAAGAGAAGAGTTGAGGAACAAATGGGACCATACTCTGAAATTCTTCTGGGTTGGACAGTTTTCCTATGCACTATGAACTGATGTGCTCTTGTAAGGTAAACCGGACTGCACAATTTATTATGCCCTTGTTTGCCTCCTTCAAACACATCTTGAGTTCTTTAAGCAAACACACACGTATTGAATTCCTTAAACATACTACATGTCAAAAGGTGTATCTCTTTACATTGACATCTCTTGGGAACAGCTTCATTGTGTCATCAGATTAATCTAAAGCTGTACTTGGCTTTGATGAATAAGTTGGGTGTTTCACCTTGGTTGAATAACAGTCTTTGCATTCTTTTGCTCTTCTCTCTCTCTTTCTCTCTCTCTGTCATGTGTAATATACACATGGAAACACTTCTCTGAGTCAGGACTTTAGGAAAATGAGAACTTAAAGTCACTACTAGATGTTACATTTTGATCACACCGAAACATTTAAATTGACAAAACAAGACCATTGCCAGCTTTGTTTTACCTGTAAATAAGTGAAAGACACTGTCAAACAAGAACCACAATAGATTTACAATATTGCTGAGAACAGTATTAAAAAATTTTAGGCATTGTAAAGAAGAATACATATATGCATGCAAGGGTTGAGTTGATCCTTTTTCCACACCCCTCTGTTTATGTTGAGTTTTCCCTTTCCTTGGGTTACATTTCAAAGTCATTCTTTGCTTGTGCTTGCAGTTGCAGGCAGTGTAGCCTGGCAGGACTGGATGCGCAGTCCTATGATGCCAAAGGACACTGTGAGGAGATGAGAACCAACCGCCCACATGGTACACGTTCAGAGAGGAGTTTCTTCAGACTAGTGCTAGCCTGCATCTAAAAGCTGAATGGTTATCAGTGGTTGGATCATACCAGACACAGGCCAAGGTTGTATCTTCTGGATTAGTGCCATCAAAAAGGCACCCAGTTTTGCTCCCCTGTGTCATTCTCCTGTGTGAACCAAAGAATGTAAGTGGGAATGATCAAGATTATAATTTCCGAAGTGAACTCCTTGTCCAAACCAAAATGTAGACTTACTGTCATTTGGCTTCTTTATTCTCCTTTAAGACTTCTACAATTTACTTCAGCAAAAGCAGAATTTGGACATTAGAGATTTATGAAGACCCATACCTGCTCTACATACTTCTTTTCATCTCTTTTTAAATATTTAATCTTTCACTGCATTCAGGTTTTCTCTGATACTGAGTGGTCATTACCATTTTTAAAGTCTTTCTGAGTGTTTTGTTATTCTTTTCTTCTCTGCAGCTTATTTCCTTAGGAATTTGTTTCTTTTCCCTGTATTTGGCATTTATTTTGATTTCTTTGCTTTCTTCTGTACACTTTCTTCTGCTGAACAATCTCTGCTAATTATTGCTACAGTGTATTCTTACTTTTTATTCACTCTTCCTTCTTTTCCTCCTTCTACTATTTTGTTACATGTTTCTTGATATGGGACCAAGTTCTGGTTTGTTTGACAACTATGGCTAATGAAATTATTTCAGAGGGCAAATGTATGAGATTTGGAATTGACAGCTTTCAAGAACAGATAATGTAGAGGCCTGTGGAGAGATATACCTGTGCCACAAATCTTATGTCCGGTTCTTAACTTCGTGAAAAAAGGCATCCAGTGAAGGGTCATATGGTGAAAGCCCGATCTAAGTTTGGTTTTAACCAACTTATAAGAAAAATAATAATAAAAAAAAAAAGTTGACAAGCTTATCCAAAAAAACCAAAATGTCTTTCCTTTCAATATTGGGCAAATTCTCTGTACTTGCTGCTTAAAAATTTGTGGTGTGTTATGTTCTTACTGATAAGCAGAGCTTGTACATAAGGTTGTAAGTAAGGCTGACCCTCTCTAACAAGAGAAGAATTTTGGCTTTGGATTCAGTCCAGAGAAAATATGATCCTGTCAGTAGCAGGCTATGTAATTGCTGTACTTGGTGTCTGTAGACCACTGTCCCAGAGCTCATCTGGTGGCTGCTGGTGATGGGTGGCCATCAGAAGGTGCTGATAGCTGCACTGCAGAGAATTGTGAAACACTGAAGCTGCAGAAACTGAGAGACTTTAGAGGTTATGATGAGCTTGGGACACGTGTATTAGCAGAGGGCCTTTATGAGAATAGCCAACTATATGAAAACGAGAGGTTGAGGAAAAAGGAAGAAGGGAAACAGTGGACTAGAGGAGGAAAGAGGAGGAGGAAAATACGCAAGTTACATGCAGGCGTATGAGTACAGGAAAAATGGAGCAGGTATAAATCACAAAGGAGATTGCCTTCCCTCACCTCCCCTTCTCTTCTTTCCTGTCAATATTTCTTGCTTGTTATCTTTAAGACTTTTTAATATACTTATGACTACAAAGACAACTGTTGGCTCCTTGCAAATTGTCCAGTATTCTGGGTATTCAATTTTTTCCATTTATATTACTGCTGAAGAATTAGGGACTTTAGTCTCCATATCACCAACATAGTACACTTTTGATGTTCTAAACACACCAGAAAGACAGTAATGCATCTTTAAGGATATAAAATACATACTGCCCAGGGGTAAACCAGTGTAATAGAAAAGGCAAACGAAAGGAGCTATATTAAGTTTTGAAGGTGGATTTTAATATTCTTTAATATTATCCAGGTTACATTTGTGTAGTATGATGAACAAATTCAGTAGTCTAAGAAATATATCTAGAAGAATTCTATTATTTTAGAAAGACACAGAAAAGTATCTATCTGCTAATTACTCGTAAGTGCTTTTGTTAAGGCCACAAAGAAAAGAAAATGCAAAGAAAGCTTGCCATCTAACATTTAGAAAGCACCTAAGTTCAAACTGTACTTGCAGGGTATATTGAAAAGGAACATTTTCATAGCACTACAGAGACCTTTCACTGAAAATAAAAAATAGTTCTTTCTGAATTTTTCAAAATTTTCAAAAAATTTTCAAAATTAGTTAGCTATGTACCAGACGTTAAAATTTCTTTTTTCTGTTAGTCACATTACAATTTTCTACATTTATTTTTATATTGTTAATGTAAGCAAGGACCTCTTATACAATCAGAAAGGAAAATGGTTAATGAATAATTTGTGGTATAAAACTTTTCAGAATTCAGATAGCCTTTTTAGATTCATTTGAAGATGCTAAACTCTGCTCCTCAAGCAGCATTATGAGTTCTTCTGTGGGATTTTGATTGTGACAGTCTTAACTTCCGTGTATTCATGAAGGCCATATTCTCCCCTAGACAAAAGAGAACGAAGAGAAATATTTATGCTAATGCTTTTTTATATGAGTTATGTCCTGGATGGGTTTTTTGGTGGTGCTGTGCAATTGAACAGATGTATAACAAACATACTGGACGTATTCGGAAGAAATTTGTGGAGCTAGACTACTGCTGGAAGCCTTTCAAAAAGCTACAGCAACTGTCTACTTAGAAAAATGGAAGAAAGAACAATTTCATTTCTGTACAAAAGAATGGTGTGTAATCAATTAAGTACATTTCTAAACTGGGTTTCTGTGCAGCAAATCAGTCAGGCACGTTAGGACTTCACAAGCATGCTCAACAGGTTATTTGCAAAGGCCCTTCTCTGATGTTAAAAGTTTTCTCCAGAGTCAAAGAATAGATGCTTCATCTCAAGTAAATGGGGGACATAATTAATCCACTATAAAATCTCCTAGAGAGTGAAAAACACTTAAATCTTACTGACGTGTCATTAGTACTATTCCACCTTTACATTTTACACGATGAGGTGAAGCTTGCTGAGGTGCCTAGGTGTTTGACATCTCGTTCAGTCAAACTATTTAGACAGAATTGGTTGTTTTGTAGAACAGTTTGCTACAGTGTAATGTTATACAGTTTTCACTGCCATATTACTAGATACACATGTATGCAAAACAGAAATCTGTTGCTGGGACTCTGGTGCCACTGGAAAGTGTTTACTGATTCTCTTCATTTTTGAAGAGGCATTCTGTTAGTATGTGACACCCAGTAGTTTAATTCATAACGGTGTTATCATTCCAAGAATTATACAGGGAATTTTATTCTGGGATTCAAGGGCGTCAATGGCTTGACACACTGACTTCCTGATGATTTCAGTGCAGTTGTTTCACACATATTTCTGCCTTTCCTAAAACTGATTGCCACATGTTTACAATATTTTTTTTCATAGCAGACATCTATCTGGTGTTAATTCCTTCCTTGTCTTCTGGCAGGAATATTTTGAACCAAGCGTTAGGAAAAACCCTATTTGCACAAAAGCTTAACTCCTTCAAAATGCACTGTTATAGCGAATATGAATCTTTATGATAGTCTATTGTTGTTTTCCTGTTATTTACAGCAAATAAATCCCCAAAATATTTCTGCAGAACTCTGTAATTCAGAATTGATGATCTCGCAATTTTTGGCATTCAGCAAATGCAAAACAGTCTTTGATAGAAATGGCCTAAATTATTGTTTGTTTGTTTGTTTGTTTTCATTTTGACATTTTCTAAAGCTCTCAGCATTGGCATAACTCTCTTTCCTTTGAAGTCAGTGGGAGCTCTGCCATCAGGAGCAGATTGAATCCAGCGATGAGCAAGCATGAAAACCCTAGCCTTTATCTCTTCATAAAAATATGAAAAAAGAAAAAGAAGCTTTGAAGCACTGTGTCTGCACATATATTTTTTAATTACTTCTATTATTCATTAAAAGTATTATGCATTTGGCTGAATAATAGGGAAAACTTATATATTTTGATTTTTTTCATTGCTTTAAAAATAATTTGTTGTTCCCAGGTATATGACATTTTTAACAAAAGACTCTTTGTGACTCATGTTCAAAAAAACCCCAGAAGACATAATTCTACGTAATGTAATGAACATGTATGATGTCAAATGTTTCATGATATAACACATTACATAATTATCTTGCCAATATGAAGATTAGGATGAACATTGGTAAGACAGGACATGATTCAAATTGAAACTGGAATAAACCTTAGAAGTTTGAAAGAATTTGATTAGCTTATCGTTTCTCTATACTCCTCTACTTATAGTTTGGGAGAAGACCAGAGGTCTGAAGACTACAGGGGTCTGTTTTTGTCATATCTTTAGACGAAGCTGGAACCTGCTACAAAAACATTGCTGTCACAAGACTTTTAAACTGAAAACTCGTGTTTAAAGCAAGGATTTTGAAATGTCTTTTGTTTTCGAAAACCTAGCATGTAAGGGGGATTACATAAACTACAGACATATATATCTTGATGCAAATGACATTTTCTGTATATATGCAAAAAATGTAAACCATAAACACAACGATCAATTTTACATATCAGTAGACTGCAGGTAACTAAAAATGGTCATTCTGAAAAAAGTGTGTATCTAAGTAATTTTCTTATTTGTTTTATAGAGGAATTGATTGTTTAACACTGTCTGAAAACATGAAGTCTCTAAACACTGTATAGACTAATTTGACAAAATCTCAAACTGGACATCCTAGTTATGAATGTTTTTGAAAAGTATTTACTTACATTTCTCGTCCATTTCCTGACATCTTAAATCCTCCAAAAGGACACTGAGCAGACATTGCACTGTAACAATTAACCCTGGAGGAACAGGAAAATTACTTTTGATAGTGTAAAATAACTGTTTTCACTTCTGAAAAATCAGTATTTTTCTGTTGACTGTATAAAATCTTTGGTGACATTCACAAACTATACCTGAGTAATATATTTTCAAAAACATGTGCAGTTCAAGGTTCAAAGAAACAAAGCATTACCAAAAACTACAGGGTTCTAACACTCATCAGGGGTCTTCAAGCACAGTGACAGTCATATCTTTCTCTGATAGTTATGACAAAATTCCTCCCTAACTAGTGCACAAACTCTCAAACCAAAGACTAGCCACAATTAAGCCTTCTGCAGGTACGCTTGCAGTAGGTAAATTCAGGATTGCTTCAGTATATATTTAGGAAATTTTGTTTGGTTCTGCTCATTGTTAAACCATATTCCATTTGTGGTTAAGGACAAACATGCAGTAATGGGTAAGAAAGGAATTTCACTGGGGAATTTGTAGTATGAAAAGTTTTGGCAGGATGTGCATCCTGTTCCCTAGCTGAGAAGCCCTTTTTGTCTTTCAACATTGTCAAATTGGGTATTCTCTGTTTTCATATCTTATAATTTCTCCTGCTGCCAGTCTACTGGTTTCAACAAATGAGGTTCTGCTCATACTTAAGGATTCCTAGACAAACCGGTGATCACATAAGAATAAAATCCAAAGATTCCACTTTTATTTTAAACTTTCTTCCATTTAAAGAATACCAACTCCTGAGTCAAAACACTTAACTTATTTTTAGAAAGTTCATGTTTTTAGGTCACAGGACCTGGGCAGGAATTTGTGCTGGTTGCAAGTTCTTTCACATAAAATGTAAATTGCACACAGCTTTTGTGTTCAAGTAAAACCGTTTGTGCTCTTTCCGATGCACAGAGACAACTGGAGGGAAATATAGGTCCCTGTCAGTGACAGTCATTAGGCTCAGTCTGCTATTCCTCCAAGCTTTCACTCCTGGATCTCAGCCTTTGCTTTTCCAGCTCCATATGGGTTGCCTCTTTCTTTTCCATCTCTGGAAATAGTTGCCCTTGGACTTGTAGCAGTTCTCCTCCACTTGTGTTTCCTTCCTTTTTTAAAACTGCTTTTTTTTCAATCTTTTCTATCACATGTGGATGTTCTGCCAAGGTTAATGGCCACAGGACTTCAGGTAATTAATTTCTTTACACAGTACAGAAAATCATCCTGCAAATTAAGTATGTATTGGGCTACGTCCAGATCCTGAACAGAAAGGAAAGTAGCTCTCTCACTGTTTTTCCTTTTGTCTCTTTTCTGTTTAAGCAAGTCAATTTCCTTTTTTTTAGACTGAGTTTACAGGACAATTGTGTGAAGACTTACAGGTCGTATTTATTTAACAGCATGTTAAGTATGGAAAGGTGAGGTAAAGAGAGACACAGGAGGATGACATTACTCTGCCTCTCTAAAGATGACAAGGAATTGAAATATAAAAGTATACCACCCAAAGACGTGTTAAAATGTCCTACAGTTAACTGCCATTGGCACCTGCACTTCTGAACGAAGAATTAAAAAAAGCCATTACTTACCATACTGTTCCAGCCTGAAGAGCAGCTGCAAACGTCAGTGCCTTATCAATGTCTTTGGTAAAAACTGCTGCTGCTAAACCATAGGTAGTATTATTTGCCCTCTTGATAACCTCATCTATAGTTTTAAACTTCATGATTTGTTGAACAGGTCCAAATATCTGTTTCAGACACATGTAAGCACACGAAGTGGATTGGTATAGCTTACTATAAATAATAATAATCTAGTAAAGTAAATAATTCATATTTTTAAAGTATATTTCTGTCAGTTGGCCTTATTCCTGAATTAATTCAGTCAAGAGTGTACACCTCAGAACAGAGTTTTACAAACAGTTATAAGTTCACATAAATATAAGATTTTTGTAGTATGGGTCAAGTCAATATAGCCTATTGTAAAATTATTAATAAAACAATAAATAAACAAAACAATAAATGATGGGAAAAAAAAAGATGAAAAGACACCCACCATAAAGATTGTTAGCACAGAATCACAGTATGTTACATATCTATGCTGGTTACCACCAAACTAGTGTTTTCTTAGTAAGCTCCAGTTTTAGAGTTGAGAAAGACATTTAACATTTCGTTCCCCTAAACTTTGTATTAGACTTTTGTCTCTGCAGGTAGTGGCACAACTGGTCACGTACACCAAGTGAAACAACTGATTTTGCTCTTCATATGGGTGTTATATGAGATAATAGTCCCTCAGGCTTGGCTTTCCCACTACTGCCACTTCGTGTTCTCAGCCCGAGGTGCCCATGCCCACCACACAGTGCCAAGGCTGTGTAGGGCAGGGGGGCATTACCACATCTAATTATTTCCATTCCCATGGATCATGAGTTTTCCACTTGATATTCCTGGATATTCTTTAAGTTGCCTTGTCTCTCTGGGGTCTCATCATTCAATACACTCAAAACAGTACGCGAGAAGCAGTTCTTGTACTGCTGACCCAAAGGAAACTAACAGAAATGCAGTTTCCTACCTGCCTCACAGACTGGCAGAAACAATCCAAATTATTTCTCATAGAGGTCTGCTGTTTTACAGCTCTCTCCCCTTCCCAATTAACTCTAGATGTTCATTTTAACTCAGTCAGTGGATTCTTTCTGAATGTACTATGTATGTTTAGCAGACTGTATCAGCAGTATCAGTGGCTATATAAAACAACACCTAGGCTTGTAAAAATTTTGAAGGAGCTTTCTGGTACGAAGAAGTATAATGTTCACCAGTTGCAGCACAATTGCAGCAGTTATTTATCAAGATGAATGTAAAAAAAAAAAAAAACAGATAAGAGGTCATGACTAGACTTTGAGGCTGTGCTTGCAGAACTGTTTTTCTCAATGGCACAGCAGCTTTGCAATCCTTACTCTCTGTTATTCCTTTTGAATGATCATTGCTGCCTGGGCACTGCCAAATTAGTTGAGTCAGTAAAAGCTCCTTCAAAGCTTTGAAGACACTTCTGCAAATTGACCTAGGTCAAATAACCTTACAGAGGCAAAACTGCTTTTCTGTAATTGCCACCAACAAAATAACCATGGAAGCACAATCTATTTTCTCTTATTGCAAAATAGCTGCTCAGTGCATATTGTGTCCAAACTCCAATGTAAGTGGCTCCTTAGGCAGTGCTAAGAGTTCACAAGCTGTGCCTTCAAGGTTTACTTCTGTGTTACTTACTGTGACTTACTGTGACTCTGATACGTGAAATATGGGCAGTATGGGGTGATGTAAATAGTCTGAACCTCAGCGTTTCTTATCTACTACCAGCTTAAACTGGAGCCTTTATTGGCACGCCAGCCTCATACTCCTCTCCCTCACCTCCACTGAGTTGGTGAAACAGGAATCAGAAACCAAGAAAAGCATTTTAAACACCACCAGGATGGAACGACAGATTTACTGAGTGTGTTTTTACGTAGCCATTTGACCTTCAAAATGGATATTTTGTACAGACATTTAAACAGACAATCTCCAGGGAGAGTACAGACTGCCAAGAATTTCTTTACCTCTTCTTTGGCAATGCGCATATCATCAGTAACATTAGAAAAAACTGTGGGCTGGATGAAGTAACCTTTGTCTCCCCATGGACCTCCTCCACATTCCAGTTTGGCTCCTTCTTTTTTCCCACTCTCAATTAGCTCCAGGATTTTTTGAAACTGCTCCTTATCGATCTAAATGTAAAGATATCACAGGGATGAAAACAGTATACACTGACAACAATTGGTCTTCTAACTCGTTAACCAAAACCTAACAATGTTCCAGCTTTGTTCAATTGGATGTGTTGAAGTGGAAGAGCTGGAGGGCCCTGCAAATATTCTTGTCATTAACTTCTCAGACCTTTACAGAGTTTTCTCAAATAAACCAGTAAGCAGAAATTTTGACATAGGAGAATCTGCTGTAGAGGGACTGATATCCTGTTTTTCTTTAGTAAAACAAGAAAAAAATCCATAAAATGAATGTGTTTTATACTTCTCCCAGTACTCTTGCCAGCTGCAAATGGTTCATCAAAATAAAAATTGCTGAGCTTGATTCCAAAAAAAACCCCAACCAAACGGGCTTGATATAGGCAGCACAATTCTTCTGTACTTCACTAGGTCTGGTAGATTGGCAATGCTGTTTTCCTAAACTAGTAAAGGAAGTTAAAAAGCAACAGTAAAATATAACTGAAATTCAGTGCTGTTTTCACTTCTTTCTGATTTATTAGTGGAATAAAGACACTTACATTCTTGGTTTGAGAAACACAGATGACATACTGTTTACAGTATAAAGCCAATCTCTGTCCCTCTACTCACCCAAGCCTACCAACAAATTTAACATATGCAAAGCATATTGCAGTTTGGCTCAACACTATAGCAAAATGCATGGTCTTTGGCTGGAAAAGGAGTTTATGGTGTCAGTACAATAGGGGTTTATATTTCTCTAACTCCTTCCAGTTTTCAGTGACAAAGCAGATAAAAGGAAATAGTGGAAAAGGGGACTAGAAACAGATTGTACATAATTTCTTATCCTCTCTTTCCAAATCAACCAGTCACCACTTCAGACCTGAAGGGAAATTGTGCACAAGCTAACATTTATGCCATGGAAAACTCAATGGTAAAGCTTGCTTGGTAGAGGCCTCTAACACCATCTTGTTTGGATTTTTTGTTTGTTTGCTTGTTTTGTCTGTTTTGTTTGTTCCATTTTCATGATTTTTTTACTCACTCTTTCAGAGTTCAGCCCTTCAAGCAGTGGCTGATGAAGATACTGAGATTACTTCTAGGAGGACTCTTGCAGAGAAGCTTCTTCTCTGTGATTATACTCATCAGTCAGCAGAGTAGGTGTGTATCTCGGTGTGTATCTTATACTCTTATTTGTGCAATAAAAAAGTCGCATTTCAGTTTGAGCAACAAGTACTACCATGGTCATAGGACACATCAATGTTTTCAAAGGTTCTGGGGAACCCTGGATGCATATTAGACTAAACAGCTATTCAGCTAAAGCTGTGATGAAAGCTTATATTTATAAGGATATGGATTTATAAGAATATTTATAAGGAGGTGATTTTTAGTTCGCTGCACTCCCCTTGTCATTTTGCTTTCAAACAATTGCCTTACTGCACGCTGAAGACATAAAATTTCTGCTACTCTGGTGGCCAAATATGTCTTGTGCATAAACATCTTGAAGAGAAGACAACGTTTAGATGATACAGCTCATGTTGCTGTCAGTCGTTCCTTTGTTATTATTATCACCATAATTTTTCTTAATAATGTGTGAATTAGCATATATATGATCTTTTGCATTCCAGTAGGGCTTTTGGCTCTTCTTCGGTGCCCACTGTGCAAAGCATTACTCAAACTTGCTGCCTGAGGCAGGTGCTGCCCCAGAGGGTCTGTGAACTGAAGGGACAGATATGGCTTTCAGGAGTCTCCATGACAAGAGAGCATAGTGAATATGTGTGATACAAACTATAATTTTTTATTTCTAGAAAGAATTAGTCAAAGCACAACAAGGGATTTGAAGACAAAGAGAGATATTCGATATAGTTGTTCCCATTCCATACTAAAAGGAACTAGAGAAGAGAAAGAAATCTCACCCTTAGGCCTATGATAGTGGCACAAACAACCATCACTCCAGTTTCTTCCTGCCAGTCCTCCAGAACAATCACTAGACAACTGTACTTAGCCTTGACACTAATGCAACAACAGGTTTAGAAGTACATTAAACTGTGACATCGTGTCACAATTACACTGGAAACACATAACGTTACTTACTTGAGGGCCTTGCTGTACCCCAGGCAACAGAGGATTGCCAAGAGTATACTTCTTTGCTCGTTCAATGCTCCGCCGAACAAACTCATCATAAATAGGCTCTTCCACAAAAATCCTAGATCCTGCTATACAACACTGTCCCTGGTGGTAGAACAGACCAATATGTGCAAATTCCACAGCGGTGTCCACTGCAAAGAAATGCAGAGTTCATCAGATTATAAACTTGACTGGTCACGTTATAACTTCTTTACAAACCTTTGTCACTCCATCTCATCTCCCTTTTTAGCACTTTTCATTTTTATGGCCCTTTAAAACACAGATATTCATCCATTTACTTATGTCCAAAACAGCTCTTATCAAGACTAGCACAGTACATCTATACAAACACACATTCAGCTCTTCTACGTGAAATGTAGATTCAACATTATTTGCTTATCAGCAGTACCAAGAGGAGTATCTAGCTAGAAAGTTCCATCTAGCTGCTTTTAGTTCTGCATTCATGTTGCATTAGGATGATCCTTAATTATACTAAGGGTGGACAGGTTGACAGCGATTCATATCATTCTGTAACTGCCAGTTTTTGGTGGCAATCTAACTTAAAACAGTAGCATGAGCAGAAAACATTAAAATTTACTCCTTCATTAAACAGGTACAAATAATTTACTGACAAAGAAAAGGAAAAAGAACCATGGGATTTGCAGAAGGATTAGGTTTATATAACAAAAATGCTACTAACAGTCTGCGTCCGCAAATATAATGTTAGGACTTTTTCCTCCAAGTTCCAATGTAACTCTCTTCAGATTGCTCTTTCCTGCTGCTTCTTTAATCAGTTTGCCAACCTAAAAGGTAGGGAGAAGACAGCTTCATCTCAAAAAGTTTGTTATGACCTCAATAACATTCAAAAGTGAAAATCAGTTCATAGCTGTCTACTGTCTATTATCTCAGTAATTGCAAAAATGAAAAATAAATTTAAAAAAAATAGTTTGAAAAGAAGAGTCAGGGTGCAGATGACTTGCAGTCTACAAACCAGGAATGCTTTCCAGAAGAGCTTCCCCCTGGACACCCTTATGTTAACTGCCAAAGATGTCTGGTTCTTATTTGGTTACTATCACTCTACTTGCTTTTATCTGTACTCTAAAGTAGGCACTGCGTACTCATCCTTGACATGAGGCAATTTTTCTTTGGAGTGTACATCCAAGAAGTTAAAGAGACTGGTTGGCAACTCTTCCATGTAGAATGCATACAGAGAGATAATATAATGCATAGTGTTAAGGATATAGTTATATAATGCCCGCACTGAGAAATCTTCAACTGTATCACTCACACTTCTTCAGAGTGAAGGTTAGGGAAAATTAACAATGACCTTCCTTTCAATTATTAAACTGATACATATTCAAATACACTTCTAAGACCACCCAGATGATCATTAGTCTCATTCAAATACCAAAAATCCATCACCTCACTTAACTGTGTGCAGAACCAGGAATGAGATTTCTGAAGCACCCTCCTACCATCCTGTTAGTATTAAAATTAAAGAGAACGGACCACAGCCTGTTTCACTTTTTGCATTTTAAAAATAATTATTCTTAAAAAAAGAAGCAAATGGAAAGTTATGAAAATGTCTTCCTTTTAAAGGACAAGACTTAAAATAGGCTTTGTATCCTAGAATCTATCGTATCTCATAGAGTGCCTTTATTTGAAGGGCTTTACTGCAATACAAACATTGTTTAAACATGTTCAAAGTTAATAATAACCAACAAATCATTAAACAGACTTTGTTTAACAAACCAGAAGCCAAAAGAAAGAAAGAAGTTAAAATAGTTACATAGAACAAGTTAGACATTAAATCATTACTAGGAATCAGAGGGGCACAGTTCCTGCTTGTATTTTCTTGCATTCATTATAGTACCTCTGTAGAGCCTGTGAAAGCTACTTTATCTACATCCATGTGGTGAGAAATCGCTGCGCCAGCGGTGGGTCCAAAGCCTGGCACAATGTTCACAACTCCAGGTGGAAATCCTGCCTGAATTGGAAGAGAGAACACTGTAAATTTGGGGATGGATAATGACTAGAAGAACACGTAATATGGTCTTACTTTCCTTTTCAGTTCTCCAGACACCTTTTCTCAGATATACAGCCATTCTCAGCCCTAGCGCCCCAAATATGTTCACTCTCACCTGATTTATGCTCTCTTTCCCCCACTTACATTTTAGGCTCCTGAACTGGATCTTTTTTTTTTTTAAAAAAAAAAAAGTACATTTGATTTTAGTTCTTTCTCAGTGCTGTTGACAAGAAATAAACTTCTTTTTTCTTTTCTCCCCCAGCCAGATGTGTAAAGAAAAATTTTATGTCTGCTTCTTTAAAGTTATTTGAGTCATCCTGTGCACTTGCTGACTTCTGCTCGTTGTCCCTCACACTAGCTGGAATTTAATTAACGATCTGCTGACCAACACTGGAATTCTATTAAGAAAAATGATGGAAATAGTACTCCGAACACAATGTTTTTGCTTCTTCCTCCGGATGTGGGTTGAAAGTAGAGAGTGGGCAACGTCAGAGTCTACAGCACAAAAGATGTAGATCAGCTACCAAGCATGAAAAATCTGGCTACCTGAGATATGCACATTTCCAGTATCTTGCAAATTTTCTATTTAAAAAGAATTTTCCTAGGGGCCAAATCAAACCTATTGTTTCCCACCAATTCTATGTTAGTTATGTCCCATTCATAGGCAAAATAAGTTATTTCCTTCCAACAGCTTGTCAGGCAAGCTTCCATGGATGTGTGAAGTGCGACTGGGTTTCCTGTTGGCTTATGAAGCAGCTATGGGGTCTCAATGGCACTTAAGAAACAGAGCAAGCACCGAATTAAAAGACCAAAACGATGGATCTCCTATACTAGTCTTTTTTAGCATTAAACAGGACTTTGGATTACATACAAAGGTTCCATTTTCATTCAGAAAATAGTGGATTTCAGCTGGTAAGTTAAATGTCTTGTCTTGTGCTATGGACACCAGACAATTTTGTTCAAGCAACTTCAGTTCCTTAGAGATTCATGCTCAGATACATTCCATCAATACTTTTTATGATAATTTAATATTTTAGATTAATATTTACCCTGGAACTGATGAGTTATTAAAGTTTCTTATATTTGCTTAACATTGTGTTTCATACTTAATTTGTAAAGAAAAGTAAGAATAATAGTTTTTTATGGGACTAATTCACACTGTCTTACTTTGGGCATTCAATTTCCATGTCTGTATTAGAAGCTATTCTCTATGTATTAGCAAAGGAGCCTTGTCAGGACTATTGAGAAGGATAGTGCGGATTACCAAAAGCAACTATATATTTTTTTTTAATGTGGACCTTGAGAAGTAGAAAGTTAAATTAGATCTTCAGATAGTTTCACAAGTCTAAAGCAGCTACTGAAGTGATCACTAAGGTTTTGATCACTGTCAGGGATTTGGGCTCCAACTTTACTTGGGTAATCTGGGTGTAAATTAAAACTCAGCTAGATTTGGGTGAATAAATTTTGAAGGACTTGATAAGATAAATATTTGTCTTTTTTTAAAGCTCCAAAATATCAACCAGATAATACACCAAAGACATTAAACCATTATATGCTTAAGCTTCTTATCCAGTTGAACACTGAATGAATGTCTGAAATGAGAATCATCTTGCCTTTTACTAAACACGCTCTGGTATTATAGTAGTTATTACCACTCTAACTGTTGTAATGTGCACACAAAATGGATCACTGATGACATTCCCACTTATGAGCTCAGGAAATCAGAATATCAGAACAGATATTTCACTAGACTCAGAGCAGAACTGAGTTGCTTTCCCTGTAACATTGTTCTTTCAGAGAAATATACTTTCTGATATTTGTTGTTAAAAATTAATAGAGAAGGTATCTCTGATTTTTTTTAAAAAAAACAACAATTCCTCCTCACCAGTATTATCTAATAGCATTTACTATGTGATGCAATAACAGCAGGACTTGGTTCCTTCCTGATAGTCATTTAGTTTCTGTGAAATATTAATGCATAACCAGTCAGTGTGCTCTGCTGAATCATTGTTTTGAAGCAGAATAATAAAATATGCCAAGTCATTTCCATTAACACCATGCAAGGTTACCGCGCTGGTGATTATTGACATCTGTGCCAACCCTTCAAACACGTTAGATTACATTTGTTGGTTTTATTGGGAGGCAAGATAGCTAAACTATTCAACTGTTCTTCTTTGGGTGTTTGCTGGGCTGGGCACAATAGTCAATGTAACTTTGGAGACGCTGGAGAAACTACCATGCTCCTTGTGTTCAAGAGCACAAAGTATATTCTCCAGTTTCTGTGTGAAGAGAGTTCACAAGTTTGGCAGCACTCAGCAGTTCAGTTTTACAGCTCCCTGTTAATAATAAACCCAGGTGGCTGAAAAGTTTCTTAAATTAAAAAACAATAATAATTAGCTGTACAAACAGGTCCTTTTCTGTGATAACTATGTTAATATAGCAATTGCCACCAAACTCTAAGTACTCTGCTCTTGACTCCTTGTTTGCTTTTGACTTTGAAAGGTGCTGTGCTTTTGTAATACAAATATGTTTGCCAAGGAATGAAGTTTACTAAATTGCTTTTGTGGATTTTTTGTGTGTGTGTGTGTGTGCAGACTAGGCAGAAAGATATGCATGCTTTTGCCCTGGATTTGCTTCACTGGTTTACAGTAAAGTAAGCTCCATAGTACAAGGCTAGACATGCAATAAGAAGTACTTGCAGAGGGCAGTTTGGTTTATATTACCTCTGTGGCACTTCAGCTGCAGTATACTCTTACATTTCTGAGAAGGGTAAAAAACTCTGCTGTTGCTGACTTACCTCTTTAATTAAGGATCCCATGTAAAGGGCAGTCAGTGGAGTTTGTTCTGCTGGTTTGACAACCACCGTGTTTCCACAACAAAGGGCAGGGGCGATCTTCCAGATGAACATAACCAATGGGAAGTTCCACTGAAAGACAGATGAGAAGGTGTATCCTATTTCTAATACAACACCAAAATGCCTTTGCTTTTTCTACGACAATAGCACAAATTGTCAACTGGGTGGTTGAACTCTTTGTTGAACTCTTTTCAGAATGAAGATATTTTGAAAAAGCAACTGGCAAGCTGTGTTATACAAAGACCAGTGATTTTGGTACATGTGAGTCCAGGGGATCCAAGGTTTTAGTTAAAAGCTCAAGAGTCAGTAAGTGTATTCATCTAACAAAGCCTTACAGAAAGTTGCTGGATTAGTGGTGAAATTGGGATTTTTGCTATCTTAAATGATCACATCCATTATCAATTTAGTTTTCTAAGGGAGACAAGGTAATAACGTGTAATGTTGCCCCTGCCCTCTTCCCTGGAGGTTTCACTGGCAGCTCTCCATTGTTGTTAGTCCAGCCAGACTGCAGAGCAGCCAACTCCTTTGGACCTCATATTCAGCAGTATGATGGACAACGTGGGTGGGGAAAAATGGGTTGACCCCTTGAGAATATTTCTAACACTTTTGGAAGCATTGAACCCATAAGCCTCATCACAAAAAACACAGCATGTCTTATCTTTACGAAAGTGGGGAAAAAGGCAGTTAGCAGTTACCTATTATGTCAGAAAGGCTTGGAGGAGTATACATGCAACTGTTCTTTATCTCTCTTCTTATCTCATTTCAATCTCACTCCACCCCCAAAAATTACAGGAGCACAAATAACACAAAGTAGGGGATTACAGGGTGTTCTGAATCTTCGTCATTGAAGTGGAACCATGTGAGTGGAAGGGAAATGGAAATGCTGAGCTAGCAAAAGTGTTTTGCAGCGTTCACATAGTCCTCAAAGTTTTCAGTCTGTGTGAAAACCTCCAGCTTGGTGGCTTCACATTTCAATGCAGAGAAAATAAACTCAGAAGTCCTTGAACATTTTATAAGGGAAGCCAGTGTTTGTACGAACTGCTTATACTTCCAGGATGCAATTTTATTTAAAGTGGCCACATCTAGTGTGTCTAGTTCTTCAGCATATCTTTACTCTGAGTGCTTTACTTGACATATCCTGTGCCTGACATACAGAAGAATCTAAACCAGTAGATTCCCGAGCTCTCCTAGAGGCTGGATCCATATTCCAGTAACGTTCTCTAAATCAATGTGGTGGCCAAAAGAGATAGCAATCTGCAAGCTTAACTGAAAGACATGAGGAACATGTCTATCAGCAAACCTGATAGACAAGATGACGATTTCAGAATTTGGTAAGCTGTCAAGCAGGTCAGGTCAGGCTGCCCACACCTACCACGTGCAAAGAGGTAGGCAGATTAGGAGTGTCTAGTGCATATAACCACTTTCACAGCAAACCACTGAAGCTGTGTAGACCTCACAAAGAAGCTTGAAAGTTGAGTTCCTCAGTGTTTTGGATGTTCAGACTCAGCCTTTTGAATCTTCACTTAAAAGAAGTTACCTCAAAACTGGGAATTTAGACACATTGGAACATATGGCTCAGTATTACAGTGCTTATTGGACACATTCTTTGTGTTGTTACTTGTATCATCAACATGGCAAATGAGTGTTAGTCATAAATAAAGATCCAATTGTCTGGATGCTGTATAGAGCAGAATAGATGTTCCAGGTCCTAAGGAGCTTGTTGCCTATAGGCTGTAAATATTACCCTCTCCTACTTGTTTATTTTTAATTCTTTCAGTTCCAACAAAACACAAGTCTGTCTTTCAAACTAATCCATCAGTCAATCTTTTGAGATTTATTTTCCATCCATAAACAGGGACAAGAGAGATGAGGCTGGACCAGACTGACTTATCAAAAACTCCATGTTGCAGAATTTGATGAGTACTCAGGATAGTCTCTATCTTTCAGAATCTGAAAGTTTCTGATTGGTAATGTTTCATAAATGCACTTGCATAGACAGAATTTCAAAAGTATTTCCATTTGTAACAGGAACATTTGTGTTTTACATAAATGTCTCCAACTTACAGGAATAATTTGGCCGCACACACCAATAGGCTCATGTCTTGTAAATGTAAAAAAGTTTCCATCTAGGGGAAGAAGAAATAAATTAGACATTCAGACAAAACATTTGTGAGAAACAGTTAAATCAGAAAGAAGATAAAGTTGGATACCAAACTTAGCTGGATACAATTTTACTTATAAATGTTATTTTCAAAATCTTAAGTATGCAAAAAATCAACCACAAAGTACATCTGGATTCAATATCTACTTTCTTCATAACTCCGAATTTTCATTCTGCCAGTCTGACTGACTTTTTGCAGTGATAAACCCACTTCTCAATATGGTATGTGCAGCACACCAATGACCATTCCTCATTTCTTTTTTCTTTTATCACCTTTGTTTTGGAAAGTGCTCTTTTAAAAACTACTTGCAATCCTAGGTACATATCAGACATTTTTTTAATATTAGATCTTAGCTTAAATCAAATCCATTAAGTATAAAATTCTCTTTGATTCAAATAAACATGTGTTCCATTAAGCCTAGTATAGAGGTCTATGCGAAGCAAAAAAGTTGGAAGTATTTATCACTCTAGTTTCCTTAATTCCTTCTTTATTACCATTCTTTTCTTTGTCTTTCTGAGAGAAGGAAGCTAGAAACAATATTTTCATAGAGCTGCTTAATGGGAGAGGGAACAGAATGAAATTTTAGCAAAATCAAAGAACGTTTCCTCGTTCCTAACTCTTAGTACTCTTCCTAATACATTATCCAATATGTGAAACAAATATTACTATTTGTGCTAATCTTAGCTTTAATAAGCAAATACCTGGTTTTCATTACTGTAGCATTGCATAAACTATATATTGCTATGCAAAAGTAACCTACCAGACTTAGATATACATACAGACTAAATTCTTTTTGCTCAACAAACAGTATTTATTAATAGTATAGAACAAGAAATAGATGTAACTGCACTAAATGTTTAAAACAAGTACTATGATAAATCTTAACTAACCTATATTAAGAACTATCTAAAATATTTTCTATTTGAGATATTTTTGGTGTTGCACAACTTTTGGAAGAAGGCAGTTTTTTACAGATCACGTTGGCTTCAGTTCTGTACTTTTGTTATCTCAAAACTACTCACCCATTGGAACAGTACGCCCATGGATTTTATCAGCCCAGCCTGCACAGTAGCGTAATGTTTTGATACAGGCACCTAAATCCATTAGGTAGGCAGTGGAAAAGAGTTTCCCACCATCAATGGCTTCCATTGTCTGCAGACAACAGCAATTACAAAGTTAATATCAAATATTGATAATGGTTATCATGCTTATACTTCGTCATTTAGCTTTTGGTTGTTCAATTCAGAGGTTTTCGGCTTAAATACCAACATTTGGATTAACTCCACTCTGAAGGATACTCTGTATTTGAAAAACCCAAGGTAGCAATTTACAAATGAGAAATTTTCATGATGATGTGTTCACAGTGAGCTACGCAGATAACATGACCATGGCACATTTGTAATGGTGAGATATTCTGAAAAAACAATGTTTCTCCCATCTGAATCAGTTACACACTGTTCTAGATTATGCTAAATATTCTACAAGCATAGATGAAAGGATCAGCTAGGAGTCTGCGCAAATAAGTGATGCAAATAAAATGAGTGGCTTCCCTCAGCTTATTCACACTGACACCCAAGGTAGGCAGTAGTTTCCTGGAAATAACTATCACATTAACTTAGGATCCTGTGCTTTTTAATTATTAAGGAACACCTTTCTAGGTGCTTAGTAAATGCATGTTAGCAACTCATATGAGCAAGAAGACTCAAAGCATGGAATAAAATACTCCTAATACACCTTGAGTGTCTGATGTGCAAAGGAAAGATCTGAGCCATTAGAACTCTTAACTGAGAAAAATTCACTATAAAAAAAATAAATATTTACACAAAAGAGACTCTCTTTTGTTGGCTAACTACTAACTAAGTGAACTATCTGGTCTTGTTTGAAGCCAGGCCTGACTCTCAATACCATGGATATGCATGCCAGGCAGATATAAACCTTGAGAATAATAAACAGAGAATATTCATTCAACATCTACAGCTTTTCAGTGGACCAATTCTGTCCACCCACAGTGCTCTAACGATCCCACGGAGACACCAGCACTAAATAGGGTTGATTTCCAGCCAAGTCTAGGGAGTGTGGTTTGGATTAATGCCACTCAAATACCCCTAATTGTTGGGACATCTAGTTAAAGACCATGTGCAGTTCTTAAATGGTGTCAACATCTTCTTGACAATGCTAGAATTTTATTCTCAAGTTGTTCAGCACAGACACACTGGGAACATTCAGCTTTGTGAACAATCCTGTTAGGATGCTTAGTAGGAAAATGCCTAATTATCTAGTCAGATCTTAGCAATACTATTTTCTTTTGTAAATTTGTTGTTTTGCATGTCCAAGGTTCTTTAGTATTTCAGGCTGAGTCTACAGCCTGATCCTGCAAGCACAATGTTTTACCAACTGTTACCCTGTGAAGGCCACAGTTTTAGTTAGACACATTGCAGATATCATACTTGGGAAGAGAACAGAGCAAATGAAGAAGTCAGCAATGCTTGATGGTTTTAAGCAACAAGGAACTATTTAAATGAGATATACCTTTGTCATTCCAGGCAATATATCTGGCACTGTGTTGTTCTGTGTGGACATGGGAGAAGATTCTTCCATGGCCTCAAACTTATGAACTCTGTAGCTTTGAGCACCACAACAAATTGAAATGTAAGAAACACAATTATCAGTGGCTCTTTCAGTACCCTGCTTTGAATTCTTCTTCCAGTAGCCTACTTATAGGGCTGCTGAGCTTCTGGAGCTTCAGGAAGGGCATCCTATCATATGAAACACTGAAATGGAAAAATTTTTGGTCCTGGCCAGATGCACAAACACAGAAATATGCATTTGCAATGATCCTTGGGGGACTATTTTAACCTCTGGTGTTTACAAGGTTATTTGCTATTCTATAGTACTAGTTCTGCAGTTAGGATAAGCCATGAGTGGAGAAAATCTCTCTTCATTTTGATGAAGTCTGGAAAGAACTTCATTGAAACATACCTTATGTAAAAGGGAAAAGTAGTCAGTAATATAAGTAAGGTGTAAGAAATAAAAATAGTCAGTAAAATAGAAAAAAGGAGTCCCAGAGAAAAGTAATACCTTCATAATATGAAAATGGCAAGTGGGAACAAAAACTAACAATGCTTCAGCTTTCCTGTAGAAAAAAGATTATTTCTCCATCCTCTTTGCATGTGTAATGCCTTAGGCTGTACAATAAAGAAGCCAGTGCCAGCTTATCCAGTATTTAACTGACAAGCGGACATACTTTTCCTATTAAAAATGTAACTCCCTTAAAATTTTGTCTCTCTCAACTCCAATAAATTGTGTACTAGCCACCCAAGTTTTCTATTGAGAAACTAGGTGATTATCAGTCCCGATCAAAGTGATAAGATTCATTTAGAGAAATAACTTTGTTGAAGAAACGTGTAAATTTGACAGTTGCAAACTTTGGGGTTCAGGGAAATAAACTCAGTTCCTTTGAATTTTCATTTTTCTTTTAAAAACTTGTTTGGGACACATGCAAATGTCTTCCTATAGTACAGCCATAAAGACAATAGGATGGGCAACAGATTCTTTGCAATATTTTGAAGGTTTAAATTTTATGAGCTTAACAATGATGTGGCTTGTAGCTAATGGCTCAATACTTCAAATTGTGACTAGACTAAACTGATTAATGATCCTGAATATTGGATACTCCTCTCCTGCTCTCCTGATTTTTTGACACTGTTGGCAGAATAACACCATTCATCTTCAGGATAGTGCAAACAACTATTGTGCCTAAATGTTAATTCCAGAAGGTGCTTGAAATAGAAAAGAGATCATCCTAATGGTAGCATTATATGCAGGGTTTAAAACAAGAGTGAGGGGTACTACCCTTTATCAAATTTGTGGTGCATTTATATTTTAAATGTTCTTTGTTGCCTTACTGCACAATCAGTAGGTGGTGGTGCTATAGCTCATGTGTTTGCTGTTGAGTGGTAAAATGGCCAGTACACAGTAGTTGGTAAATACAGGACATCAATTCCCACCCTGCTTGTTCCTCCTAGTGCAGAACGTTCTTCATTGCTGCTTTTCGTTCTGGTTAAGGTTTTTCACTCATTGCCAGTTGCAAGCTGGAGTTAATGAAGGACTAGTGATAACAAAATATATAGCCATGAAATTCAAAATTTCTCCCTGTTCTGACTTGTATCATCTGTACGCTCTGACATAGGCTTTGAGGTTAGGGCTTGAACTAAGCTTTGGTTTAGACAAGTGTTAAGCATATGGTATATGTTAGTGTTTCCTTAAGAATCAACAATTGAAATTGCATCAGTTGTAGGTGGCTTAAGTATCATCTTAAAGCTAATCAAACACTCAAGTACTTTGCGGATGTGGGGTGTTAGTAGACCAGACTGCAAACCAGTTTAATGAGGTCCATTTGCAACACAGAAGAAAAACAAGTATTAAGACAGCCTGACTTCCCAAGGATTTAGCATGTTACACTTGCTTGCTTATACCTTTCTTTAAAAACCAAGACATAGGCTTTTTTCCCAGTCATTTTGTTCATGTATCATACTCACCGCTAAAATCAGCCGATCTCTTTCAACTAAGTCAGCTAGTTTATTCAAGAGCCTTCCTCGCTCTGAAGCATCCATTGTACGCCAGGGTGACCCAAGCTCAAAAGCTTTTCTAGCTGCTTTAACAGCCTTGTCTACATCTGCCTGTGGGAAAAACAGAAAAACTTTTATAATCAGTAATTGATTCTGTCATCAGTCTTGTTGGTTGTTAAATGTGCAAGGTGTTTTGCAAGAAACGAAAGAGATACCAACCCCAATCTAATCAGCATTAGTACAGTAATTTTAGATACAAGTGTTATCTTCTTCCAAATGTTTCTGCTATCATTTCAGCAATGTGAAATTGTATGAGAAACTAATGGATTCTCAAAGCTTCTATAATAAAAACATACCGAGGAACCCCGTTTTTAAAATTTAAATTTTTAAACCTTCTGCCTTCTGGTGTCTGCAATTGGGGATGCACTTACCAATTACACTGCTGTTGCAATTTAGTCTCTTTTATGTACAAAGAGATGCCCAAACCTGTAAGTTAAATATCTAAGTACTCAACATTATCTACAAGTGTATGGTGGTGTGATGAAGACCAGGTTAGAAAAATCTGTTCCTTAGAATGTTTCATAAAAGGAACACAAACTTATTTTTGAGGAAGACAAATTGATGCATTTGTTTTTGAAAATTTTAAGGAACATTTGTATTTAAAATAATTTTAGCAATTGAATAATTGACCAGATTTAAAATGCTAAGCCTAAATATTCTGAACTGTAGGTATTGTCTTTGCATTAAGCAAGCTAACTTGTCAGTCCAATGATGTTTTTTAAATCATAATTTATTATTTATCATTTTGCTTTCACTGTATCAGGAAAATCTACAGTGACATATGAAACTCTTTTCTGTGCAAGGGTGTCCCAGGATATAAAAAAAAAAAAAAAATATCTTGAGAAAAGTCTTTTAGTACTTGAAATTTTTCTACATTTCACAATTCTTGTAAAAGTTTTCCCAGGAAAACAATGACAAAAAAAAAAAAAAGAAAGGATATTTCTTCTGCTATTTTGTTAGAAATTACAAACAAATTTCAAGAATAAAAAGAGGAATCTATACATGGCACATTTCCCTGAGCAATCTGCAATGTGTTGTTCAAACAATTTCTTTCAAACTTTTTTTTTTTGTACTGTTGGTTGCTAGAATATCCTCCAAGGAAATCACTGTTGAGTTTAACTAAGTCAGCAAAGTTGACTAAGTCAACATCAAAGTCAATTGTTCTAAATGTTAATCAGATCTTGAATCTTTAACAAGTTGGTAGCCAACAACTCCTTTTTAAAAGCCAGGAGTGGGGTGGGTAAATGGCTTGGAAAGCCCAGCACAGACGTGCTAGGCAGGAGGCCCACAGAACTTCCCAAAGTTCTCTCCAGGAAGTTTGAGAAAAAGATAGGATGGATCTCTACAAATAGCACAGTCATTACTATAGGGTAATACTGACCAGCCACCTATATTGGGTAGCTGAAATCTACCGGATTAAAAAGGATTACTTTTCTTCAGAATCTATCAGAATGTTACCAAATACCTCATCACTTATCTGTGACCCAGAAAAATGTATTTAATGAATATTTAATTCATTCTACTTTTTTCTCATCTCTTTCTATCATAAATATTCTACAGCTCTGCAATATGACTGGGGGTGTATGCCTTGGCCTTTACTGATAAAGAACAAGGGGAAACCATAAGTCATACTTCTGTGAAAGATGTAAATTAAAAGTAAATACAGTGCCATGTGTTCTTTCTACTAAAAATGCTGAAATAATTAAAACCAAGAAAAATTATATAAAGCTAATATAGGGCTATGAATGAAAAGTAAGATAAAAATAATGCTCTTCAACTGAAATGAAATTTAATTTGAGTACACAAATCTATACCATAAGTATAAAGACTGATAGCTCCTTTCAGAGCTGGTTTAGACTTTTTACTGAAGCACATTTACTCTACATCACACTGACGTTGAGCAGCTTTATTATTACTGGGGGCCTTTAGGATTAGCGAATGTAGCTTGAAAGAGCCATCAAACTGAAAGGAAAACAGTTCCCACCCACATATGTGTCTGTGCTTTGTAATCTCCACTTCTTTTTTTTAAATACCACTGCAAGGCTGTGTACAGCCCTTTGTCAACCCTATTGTACACACAAATTAAATTCCTAAAATCTCTTGGCTCATTATCTAAAAGCTAGGCTCTAGAATATTAGGTTCACAATGACTGTGTAATTTACTAGATTTGTACATTTCACTTGGCAATTTAGTTAATAGCAGTTGTCATTACACATTAGTTTGCAAAATTATTGGAGAGAAAGCAAACCTGTGTGTCGAACAGTATTATCTCTTTATTTAACGAGTTGTTAGATTGCTTGTAAGGAATGAAAGCTACAAAAATTCTGAATTGTCAGTGAACAGTTACAGGTCATAAGTAATTTAATTTGAGGTTGACCAAATATCAGGCCAACCTGATTTGCAATGTAATTTGTTTTTTAAACAGTGAATAGAGAAGAGGTGGAAGAAGTACATCAAAAGCATGTATGATTCTAGTGGGATACAATTCCTAAGTTAACAGCATGTTTATGAAATGCTTTGGCTGAGGACAAAAAGAGCCTGAACCAATCTAAGTGACTCTGAGCATTTTATACAGGTACCTGGGACTAAAGAAAGGCAAGAACAATGCGTTTGAAGAACTCATGATTAGATATACGAAATTATCAAAAAAACAGATTCATGCAGACTTTCTCAGCCATCTTTGTATAATAAAAAGTTTTAAATGTGTCTTCACTGTGATCTTAATAATGTGTAATCGCTGTTGCTCATGTGCTAGAGAGATAGCATTTGAGCCTAAGTTTATCAGGAAATTCATGATGAAATTACAGAACCAGAGGAACTACAATTCAATGAGTACAGGACGTTGGATGAACTAGGTTTCTACATAATTCTCAAAAGAGCATTTCATTTCAGAGTGAATGTACAGTACATTAAAATATTCTGAAAGAGAGTATGCTTATACTGACAAAATTTTTTTTATGAACTTAGATAAATGGCTTATAAGTTTTATGGTAGTTCTCATGGATAAAAAAGGTGTTTAATGGGCATTTTGCTACTAAGTTGGATGTAAAAATTTGACTTTGAAGGAGGAAGTGTAGAAAATGAAATAAATATTGGCAAGAACCAAAACAGTAATAATAAAACTGATTTTTTTTTCAGCCACAGTCATCACTTTTTGTATACCTGTGAACTGGAAAGAGAACGTTCATTTCTTACAGTTGCTTTCTCAGTCTTTATAAAGAAAATGTCTAAATGGCTGTTTAAGCAACATTGTCTGTTCTATTTAAAAAACTAACCCCCTTACTCGATAACTTACGTTTAACCTGTATGGTAACACTAGGCAAATCCTTTTCAGCAGAAAAATACATAATATAACAAAAATACAGAGCTGCTTATTTGAGGGTTTAAGTTTTCATCATATCTTTGATTACATGGTATCTCTCTGTAATTTTCCACTATAAAACCTCATAAATATAAAAAATAAATGTTTGTTTACAGGTGTCAACAATCTTTTTAGTCCTTTGCTTAAATTCACCAATTCAACATGCGGTAAGGAAACCAGTTTTGGTGGAATTATTGTCTATTTAATATGTTACCTTCAGCTTCAGAGTCTTTTTTAGGACTATGTTCCAGTACATTTTTCACAAAACCAAATACTTGAAGGGGGCAGTACTGAAAAGATATATTCATAACTAAAATGCTGATGGGAATGATCATCCTCACAGAGTCTGTGTGGGAAAATATCTGTATTTTTCCACTTCCTGTTATCTATAATGAAAAGTCTTATATAAATGTGTAATGAACAGATTACATTACTGTGTAAGGAAGAACCAGGATAAAAACAAAGAAACAAACAAACAAAAAACCCCAATTAAATTACTAGATGTCACTGATCAAAGATAATAAAAAAGTACCAATATTATTAATTAAAAAAATAACAACAATATGTCTTCAGAACTTTCCTCAAATAAGCAAGGTCCTAAGAGTAAAACAGTTTTTCAGTGCCAGTTTACAAACAATATTAAGGCTTAGTAAAAAGGCCAAGAATTATGTTCACAACAGAATATATATGGGATGAAGCAGGTACATCTCAGAGGTGATGTTTTACATCAGCAGTGGTGAACGTTTGCTTCCTGCTTTCAAGACACAGAATTAAATTTAAAGCTAGGGTTAAGAGCAAGAAAGAAAGCCCTACCTTGTCGCCTTCTTCAACCTCACAGATTTTCTCTTCATTTGCAGGGTTAAAGACTTCAAATTTTTTACCACTGACTGCATCGTGCCACTCATTGTTTATAAATATCTGCAGAGGAAGAAATAGTGCAACAATATTAGTAACATATCTACAGTTATTGTCTGTTATCTGTTTGAATGAATAAATCTATCTTTCATAGCTAAGAGCTGTCTGGCTGATAAGTACCTGAATTAAAAATGGAAGAGTGGTTTCTACATTATTCTGAAGAGATGAGTAATCACACACACACTTAACCAGGAACAACTTTTTAAAATTAACTACCTTTGGAGAGGCAAACCGTCTCTCCATGATATTTTCACTTTGTTTCATATCATGAAAAGATGCTGTTACAAAGGGGTCCTTCCTCTCTCAAACTGAAGACTGTGATGTACAAGGGAGGTACATCCCAAATTGACCTATCTAAAACTATGTGGGTTTCCTATGCTCACAGGGTTGGTAAGGATCGAGGACCTTTCTGTTACGTGCTCCAACAGACATAAACACAATGCTTGGATTTAGTATATGTGGTACATTTAGTATCTTGGAGAACACTATTTTATTCAGCTTTGCTTTGATTTCTCCTTACTTCCTGCCAAAAGAAAAAGAAAAAGAAAATCGCAATAAGAAATAACTAATAGTAGTTTTTTCTGAAATTAAAGACTGAAAAAAACACAGCACAGTCAATTGAATGAAACAAAGAAATAACCACTTAAGCTCAGTAAAAAGAGGCAAGTATACTTCTGTATTTTCATGTTACAGGAGAAAAATAATTAGACATTAGGGAGAGGCTCTTTTATTTCTCACCAAAATCCTTTGGCTTTGTGGATTGGTGCTTTATTGAATGTGAACCTAATCAAGATTTAAAAGCAGAAACATAATGCTCTTAATCTTCTGCAGTACAAACCCAGAATTTATTCCATTAAATAAAGACAGGAATCACAAATCTACTGGAAATGGCTGATGTATTCACCAGAATTGCACTGTTAGCAAGCTTAGAGAAAGTCTAGAATGTCCTCGCTGTTTGTCGTTTCTGGATTTCACAGAGACACTCTCTTAAAAACATACTTAGCAGCACATACTGGGATAAAAGCCCTCTGTCATATATAATTGTTGCCTTGAAAACGAGTTGGATTACTTTGTTGATGAAACCACAAACAATTATTTCTTTAATTGCTGTCTTTCTGCCTGTCCTAATCTTACAAGGAAATGGGGACTAGCCTTCCAGATTGAATCAGCACATGGAAAATGTTTACACTGGCCAAATTAAAAAAAAACCAAAAACTGACAATGAGGGGAATTTCAAGGGTGGCTTATGGGCAGAAGGTGACTGTGGTCCTCAGCTACACATATAACCCTATACAACCCAATAGCTCCCAGATGAAACTGTGTGGGGAACAGTGGCACTTCCGATGACAGTTTTCGAAGCTATTTCCTACTCTCCCTTTGGAAAGACTATTTGAGTAGTCGCAATCTGGACGTTTTCATATCACAATGCTGTTATTTCCCAGGGGTTATACTATGGGTGCCAGCAGTGGGGTTGCACCATATTACCATAATCCTGCACTCAACAAGTGAATATAGTCATACAAACATACAGCAAACATGGGTGATGACAGTATATATGCCCTCACAGCTTGCCAGGATTACAGCTGATGGGGGGGCTCCTTTGTCTCCCCTCACTATCTGAAAGTTTCTCTGCAAAACACCAGGAATTCAAACCTCTCTGGTTTTGTTCTTCAGCACGTGCTGCAATTCTTGCTTTTGAAGGGTGAAGCTACTTGCCTTGCATGACTGCAGGCTTTAACGAGTTGATCCTTGGGTAACCATTTTAGCTGTCATTATTTTATAATCAGTACGACTATCTTCTGTTTAAGGTGATCCTAACCATTTGATGTTATTCATTACTTATTCAATAATTTCTATCAATACCCTGATTACTTCCAATCTAATGGTCACAGCTATCAAATCTTTTGTCACCCTGGCATTGGTGATGCTTCCCTTCCTCCCATTCAGCCTGTAGGCATAAAATGTAAACATATTCCTGTTATGCTGACTATTACTGCCAATGTCTGGCTATTATTGTTTGAACTGAAAAGGATATTACAGCAAATTAATATTACTTATATGATTTTGATAGTTTTTCGTACTTGATTCCAGCTCTGAGTATCTCTGTTATGTCTCTACACTGATTTCCCTCAGCACCACCACTCTTGATTTTCCATTCTCCCAGACACTGTCTAAGCCTTTTTACTAATCTGTTGCCTTCATGTGGACTATCCATATACCAGGAAAACCAGGCCAGCATGCATTGCTTTTTTAACTGTTTTCTCCTGACTTTTACCTGACAAGGACTGGAAAAAGTCTAACATCAAAACCAAGAAAATAAGCTAACATTGTCCTTTCCTCACTCTTGCTAGAATATACTGTCTTTTTATTTAATATTTAATATTTCAAGCTTTTCCTAAAGTGCCAAACATATAGCTAGCTATTAAGAATCACAAAAGAATAACAATTGCACAGCAGCTGGCCTACACTAAAGTTAAATATAACAGCTTACCTAGCAGCAATGCAATTGGTATCCAAAGTTCATTTAATAAATATTAGGAACTGTATCCTTACCCAAAGATTAAGCTTTTATGCTGGTTGAAAGCACATTGTGTACTGAATTTACTTTGCATGGCTGAAACCAATGCCATCAGCTCTTGATTGCAACATTGCTGGCACACTTAAAACAAGACCAAAACAAAGCAAGGTGGGCATAGTTGTTTCCCATATTGAACTTTTATGATCTGTAACCTTTTGTGGAATAATAACCCCAGAAATTCAAACCTAGGCCCTTTTGTATGGGAATAAGTAATTGGCAAAGGTACTGTTACAGCTGAAGGAATAATTAAATGTTTGAAATCCTTATAAAGTCTAGACATTGGTGTCATACAAGAATACTTTCTCCAAAGACAACACAAAATTCCCACCACTTCTGTTTTGCTTTTACTGTTAATTTTGTTGTCTGTTTGGTATGGCACTTTCCTTCTCTTTCAGGATCTGGTGTCTTAATTTCAGTTGTGCAATATGTCCCTTAAAACTATGTCCAAAGAGGGTTTCAGGAGTGAGCAGTCCTGCGTCTCTCTAGGTTTTTGGTTACTGAATATTAATAAGTCTGTTCATTAAATCTGTAGAAATTAGTCTGATTTTCCAATAAAACAAACAAAGAAACCAACCAGGAAATAAGCCACTGCAATTGTAAAATGGTAAATGTTGTTTTTTAAAAGATATGCTTTATAGGATTATTAAAATAACTATAGTATTTCTGAACTCTCTTCTGTCAAATTAAAGATGATACAAAATGAACTGATTCAGCAATTGCTAAGTGACAGGGAACAAAACAATCTTCTAAAGATATGCTCTACTTTAGTTGTAATTACTGAGAAACTATGGGATATTACACAGCTGTGAACTTTTAGAGGACAGGCAGAGTGAAGGCAGAGTGAAGGACCTCTGGGTGAAATCTGAGGTTATCTCCGTTCACAAATGCAAAATAGAACCTGGGTCTTAGCTGTAGGTGCACAAGATCTATGCTACCCTGGAGCCTTCCATCTCTGAGCCACTTCTGGTGAAATTGTCAAAGTGAGTTAACTTTTTATTTCTGACTCTGTAGGTTAGCCTTGAAACAGGAAGGAAAACCTCGATAGAAAGATCTGATACATGGCACAGATGTTAAAAAGAGGAGGCTATGTTCCTACCAAGTGTTGTGTAGGTTGTTCCTTAAAGTGGACGTGACATCATATAAAGTCCAATCTTAACATTACCTGTCATCATCTGTCTAACCATCTCTGTGGTCTCTGGGTTTGGGTCAGTGTGGGAACAGGATCACCACCCTAAGCCGTCCTCTCAGTGCATGAGCCCACCTTCTTGCTGCTGATGGGCTGGTCCTCCCTTCTCGCTGTCTTTCTCTCCCAGTGCCACTGCGTTGCGGACACACGTGTGAGATCTTGATCATGTTCATCATCGAGACCACGGCAGGCTCTGACTGACTGTACCAGGTATTTTGTGCTCAAACTGTGCCTGTCTTTAGGCTTGTGGCATCTTGCCCTACCTCAAAGCTCAGCTTTGAGACGAACTAGCAGAAAAGATGTGATTCCCTGTTTCCTCTCCATTAGGATAAAGGAGCTACTCTGTCACTGCCCAGAGTAATAGGAACATTTAAACAGAAAACCAGAAAATACTTTGGGGCAGGCAAATCAAAGCAAATGATGGTTGAGTCAGGGCAGGACAAAGACATGAAAACCGCAGGATAAATGCTTTTTGTCCCACAGACCTGGGATTTAAACCCTACGACCGCACATGTTATGGAAACATGACAGCTTTCAGGGAATAGATTTTTTGCATGTTATTGAAATTGTTTACAATGACTGTCTGGATGGCTGTTAATAATGAATAGTTTGGTAATGACTGACAAAATCAATAAAAATATCAATAAAAAATACAGTAAGAATATTCCTGTATATTTTAGCTTGTTAATATGTGGACCATCAGGATTGACCAGCAAACTCCTGATTTAACAAAAGCTGTCAGGGAAATAAATACGCAAGCCCCTAGAAATTTCAGATATGTGATAAATTTGATTATAGGATTGTCCACACAAAATTCTGACTGTTATGAATGGGCAAAGACAGCAGTTAAATGGTTAATATGAAAAAAGCCATCTTTAGTAACTAGATACATTGCCAAGAAAAGAGACAAAGTAAAAGGTAAATATTAACATAACACTGCTATGATGTTACAGTATGCCAAATTCATATCTGTCTGTGAAAGAAATAATAGCAAAACATACCATTTTTGGAAGCTTTTAAAGTATTTGTTTAAATACTACATTTATTGCACCAACCAGTATCACCCATAATATTAGTTTAGAATATCATTCTTATTAATGTTTCTAATACCATTCCCATTTAAAGCATAACTTCATTATATTAAATATATACACAACATTGTATCAGAGCTGTATAAATCAAACTATGCAGATGTCTTCCATAAGCTAGACAGCAGTCTTGCATATGCAGGTATGAAAGACAGGGAAGAGAAGGAAAAAGTCAAAACTCTCCATGTAAGCTGTGTTAACCTACATTGCGGGCAGCTGCACTCATAAATGTGCACACAGCCATGCTCATTTACTACTGTGGAGTATATGCTGCAAGCAAACATGATATGGACCTCTAAATTCAGGCAACGTTCTAGTACCAGCCAACAGCAGCCTCTGGCAACTGCCCTGTCCTGCTTAAAAAAAAAAAAATTGGGATCATCTTGCAGTGATTTGCAGTGATTGCAGTGGTTTGTCTGTCAGGCAGAATGTCACTGCAGCTACGTTTTGGGTTTTTTTGTGCTGGTTTGTCAGACATAAACGTGAAAGACCTACGCTTCTGTGGCATGTGCTGTGCAGAGGGTTGCCTGCGATGACTGACTATGGTCCATGAGGTTTAGGGTTGCAAATCTATTTTGTAAGGATTTAGAAAAGTTGTTGCAGGCATTTTGTAACTGTTATTTCACTGGTGTATTTAGGAGGGAAGATGGTTTTTATTTCAACAACCCAAAGAATTAATGACTTTCAGACTTTGCACCAGACCTAGGAATACACATTTCTTGTAGATGAGACTGCACACTACTAAAGCTTAGTACTTAAAATAGAGCCCAGGTAACAGGCTATTGCAGTCAAAAAGCCTCTTATTGTCTTTATTTCCCAGTGTCAGAGTGCAATAAAATCTTGATTCTCTGAAACGATTGATTTCAGTTCAGATAATCTGATACCGTTCACCATTTGGGGCTGAAGTTACCTGCAAGACTACAGTATTTCTGTCATCATTTAGACAGTTGATTTGGTCACTCAAATGACTTGAGCAGAGAAGAGGGAGACAAGACCTGCTCTTTGACTTTCTTTTTTCATCCCAGTGTTTTTTTCCCTTAGGTCTTTGGGTGTTTTGAAAGGACTGTGAGTTCATTTTTTTGAAGTATCTGCTAGATAGGAAGTGCCATATTTGTATCTGTGGAGCGTAAGGAAAGAAAGTATTTGAGTCTGGACAGCTTTGTCTCAGATGGACTACACCATAGTTCTGCTGAAATAGATTTTAGGCCCTCTACATTTGGTGCCATCATCTTGTGAAATGTAACTTCTTGCTGCACCTTCCTTAGAATAAGTTTCCCCTTTTTTGTGGGTACAAAAGGGGCAAAGTACAGGGTTTCAGGCCTCAGTGCTTCTGTTGAAGTGACTTAAAAGTGCAGTTTAGAGAAGAAAATACTTAATTTCTGATGTTGCAAAGTTCCTATACTCAGCATCTGTTTACAAACTTATTTTTAGTCAGGGAAGAATTTTAATGTAATTCAGTGTTATTGTTATAAACTGTAATCCATACTATAGAGATGTAGCCAAGAAAAGTAATAGAACCATCTAAAATGTGGGCTATCTCAAACTTAGCTATTAACGGTAGCTGTATAATATGGAATATTATGGAATGAAATGTCAAAGATTTCTTCTCTTTAGATACAAGAAACTCTTCCAAACTTATGGTACAAGAAAAAGCACAAGCTCTTCCCACCATAAATCTTCCCCCAGATAGCCTCCAACTCTTGCTATGATAAAGCTTTTCTTGACAATGCTCTTCAAATGAGCTGAGCTGCCTGTTTCACAGAAATAAAAGCAATCACTAAATTTCAACAGCCGCTCAGCTGACTGCTCTCAAGTGCAGACAGTAAACCATGGAATGACGGAACCGCCATTTTTTTTTAGAGGCCAGGAACAGTGAAGGGCCACTGAGGCTGTGTCTGGGCTACTGATTGCTGGAGGTGATTCAGCATCCCTCAGGTGAGGTGACGCACCATGCTGAAAAATTGTTGGCCCCTATTGACACCCGCTTGTATAAATTATAAGAGTCATTCAGATATTCTTGGGTTTGATGATGGCAGTAAGTCTTACAGTTACACCTAAACCTGAAAGACGTTTGTGGCCCAAGAGGAGGCTCATTTCAATTGCTGTAAGTTCTGATTTACTGGTCCCAAAATATGTCATGAAGTCTCAGTGTATTCTTCAAGCAATACAGTTAAAATATGTTAAATTATTTAAGGAACTACTAAAGACTGAACTTGTGAGCTTTAAAAATTATATCAATATAGAATACTTGCCGTGAAGTCTCTTTTTTTCCCAGGTTTTTCTGTACAAGAAGCTGACATTTGGCTAATATTTCCTGTAACTATTATTTTTCCCCTCAGAATTGTATGTGATTATTAATGCAGGAATTACATTTTACTACTGCAATGAACTAATAATCAGCGAACATACTCTTTCTATTTATTATTTATTTAAACTTTTTTATTTTTCAGTTAGTGGCTTTATATCTAGAAAGTCAGCTGATCTTAAAAAAAAAACATGTGGTCCTCTTTATTTGTTAAGCAAGTGATTGCAACATATGTGATACACAGCTACAATTTTTCTTTACTCAGAGCGGCTTATCCTTCCATACTTTCTGATATTCCACAGGTAGCTTACTGAGAGAATGTGCTGCCTTCTTCTCTCCGTCATGTAATTTGACAACCTAATAATTAACTAATCTGAGTTTCTCTGATTAAAGGAACACTACAGGGATTAGTGTGTGCGAAAGCATCATGACAGAAATCATTTGTTAAACAATCATTGTCTAATTCCTCAGTGTTGACTAAGTAAAATATTTACCAGTACATTTTTAGCCAGTTACCAACGCTTATTCAGTTCATTGAAATATCTTTAAAGGAGATTCAGACATGAAACCTATTCAGGATCACTTTGTGGTTCAACATTCAAGATCCAAGCCAATTTTGCTGTTTAAAATGCATTCAAATTAATTCTTGAAATTCAGATTCCCTAAAGAGTGCATAGTTTCATGCTATATGTGAAAGGTATAACCTGAAATGTAACTATACCAACCTGTAGATCTATGGACATATGGAAATATTTAGTTAAATGAACTCTGTAAAAGTCACAAAACGATCCCTCTCATAGAAAATAAAATAGAGAGAGTGTTAAGTAAAGAAAAAAGTCCTTCGAACATCTGCAGACATTTCTTCAGATCCTTGTGTGATGGCTCTTCATATTATGTCGGGGTATAGGAAGAGAAAATTGAGTTTCCAGAGCTGAGGGATCTGCCGATGTCCAAGGTACTTCAGACAGAAAGGTAAATACATCAGCAGTAATTAATGTTTCCCTCATCTTGATCCCTGCAACATAACTAGTCAAAACAATCTCACACCCTACATTCTAACTTGTACAGGGCAGGAGAGGTACAGGATGGGTAAGAAGACGAGAGTGGAAAGGCTTTATTAAATTGTGGGATGGCTGTTTAGCATGGGATGACATTTCTGTTATCCCACCTTCCTGTCCCTCAGTACACTGTTGTGGCTTTCAGACAGTCCTGTGCAATATTTGAAGAGGAGGAAAGCATTGCAAAAATCAAGCCTCTGCCAAGGTGTGTTGGTTTTGATGACTTGCAGGTACACACTTTTGCAAACAAGTGCATTGCACTTCTGCACAGTTACACACTGTATGCAGTTTTTAAGGAAGTGGTATCTATTGCCAAGGCAAAAGAAACACGCATTTGTTATGTGACAATCTCCTTAATTGCACACTACAGACATTTCAGCCATGCTGGCTGTCTTGTGGTTGCTTTTTGTATTAACGGAACAGGTTTTTGCTAACTAAATATACTAGAAGGATAGAAATGTTTACAGGGATTTGTCTTGCATATTCAGTTACATCAGACTTCTGAGCTGACATTTCACTCATATTTGTTGTTTTTCTTTGGAAAAATAAAAAATCAAACAAATGAAACTGTAGTTTCTGGAACACCACTGTGACATAAGTACTAAAGTATCTTCTGTGAATTAAGCTTCTTTTCTTTTTTTTTTGGAGACAGGAAGAGCATAGAGAGCTATCACATGGGAGAACATATCTTTCGCAGCCGGTTAAATATTTACAAAGTAAGGTCCTGTGTGATTTATTCAAGAAAGATATGCATTGAAATCTGGTTAGGTTTTTTCCATGAAAAAAGTAGGATAGAATGAAATTCAAAAGGACTAATCCAGTTAATCACTGAACACCTTGCTTTTGGAAAAAGATTTTTAGAAAATAAAATTTATTTCCATTGTGATGGTAATGAGAAAAAAACGGAACAGTAACTGAGGAATCTCCAAAAAGAAAGGGTCCTTTCTGATCAATTGTTCTACCTCAATGCTTCAGAGGGCAGAGTTTCAATATTTTCTGCCAACAATTTGTTCAAAGTTCTTGCAGATATCTGCGTACTATGATATAAAACAGGCAAAGGGTCTTTTCAATCTGGGAACACAAGTCTGGATTCAGACCTTCTTTATCTGTGTATTTCTAACTGCATATGGAAAGAATTTGCTATTAGAAAAAGTTTATGGTAATATTAAATAATTAGTAATGGCAGACTTTATCTGTTTTATTGATAGTTACTTATTCAAGCTGAAAAATGGATTCATTATCACTAAGAAAAACATGTGAGTGGAATGAATTTTATTTTAGTTTCATTTTCACACATCCCTTTCTACATAAGTTTATTTGGTATAATTATTTAAATCTGACTGTAATACAATGCAGTATACTGACTTTTTAATGTTCTTGCTGTTCTGAAAAATAGTATAATAATAGAAACTTTTCCTTCTTTGAGAAACTTATCACTGCAGAAAGTTAGTTTCAGGAGAAAAACAACACCCACCCAAAGTGAAGTATGAAATTATTTTATCACACTTGCACGCTTCCTGAAATACTTAGGTTAAAAGAATCACTGAACATTAATTGCTAATGTGTATAATATCAGAAACAGGTTGGCATAAACATTTTAAGCAGTGATTTACAGTTGCCTCCATGGTTCATATAAGATTAAAATGAGCACATATTACTGCCTGAGCTGAATGCATAAGAAAAATTAAGAAACACAAACACTACTAACCTTGGTGTACTTAATTTTCAGATCTTTGAGTGGTTCTGGCAGTGCTGGCAAAACTGGAGCAGGATTTCTGTCTGAACCTTGCTTCTTCATATTTTCAGTTGAGGAGTTTGAGGACGTTCCTAAAACACAGGTGAAATGAGGTACAAGGGAAGTGCAGTGATTTTTGTCCTGACTGAGCTCTTAGCTTTATTTGTGCTTTTTTATCTGTACCAGCTATGGTATATTTGCATACAGGAATATGATTGGATGAAAGAATTCATTGCAAAGAGAAAATGACACTACTTATTTTTAAGACCAAAAGCAACAGCCCTTTCACCGAACTGAGACCTCAATGAAGAAAATACTGCTGAAACAATCTGCTTAGCCAGATGTTATGAATTTCTTACTGGGGAACACACTTTAAGGCCTCCTTGTCTTACCTGTAAAATTGCTTTCTCTCAGCAGGCAGGTTCCCAGATTTTAAGTGAAGTTCTTCACGTATTTGAAGGCAGATCTGAAGGTAAAGACAGATTTGTTAGCTCTGGAAACAAACTAAGCCCTTCTCATTGGAGAGTTGGCGAGAATAACTCCCAGAACTGAAAGTGTTCACTAAAATGCAAGCCACCTTAGGTTATGCTTTAATATGTTCAGAGTACATTATAATTCCTGTAATTAATACCTGCTTTGTAGATCACAGAGATAAGGGATGACTATGGTGATACAAATCCTTCACAAGTTTTTCAAGAAATGTGAAAGTAGGACAAAATTGATCAATCCAGAAAAAATACTCTGTGGGTAGAACCAAGCAAAAACTTGTTTTTTTCCAGATAGCACCACAATTTTAAGAACAAAATTTTTACTACAGTATACTCTGTAAAATCTGGAAAATCTGAGTTTGTGCCTTTCAAAACAAATTATTTAATAGAGAGGACTTTTCTACCCAGGGAGGAACCCACTGGTGCATATATGTCCAGTTCTGATTATTCAATGAGAAACGTATCTCTGGTACTGGCATATCATTTTATAAAGCAGAAGAAACTCCTTTCTTCATTAAGTGCTACTTTGTCTGATGAATGGTATCACAGAACAAACTGGGACTGAATTAGCATATGTTTTCATATGCTAAGCTTCTGATGTATGCACAATTAATTTGTGCAATAGAAATAAAGAGAAATGATCTTATTGCTTTCATTGAGACTATACAGATGCTTGAAAAACTCACTGAACTCAGTAAATTCATGTATCAGGCATCATTTAAACCATCTAGCAATGGAGGCTTTGTTGCTTTTAACTGATGGATGATACAGGACACATCATGAGATTAATCTTACGATGCGTTAGTTGTATGTAACATACTTTCTGAATTAAAAAGCATGCCATAATTACCATTGATGATTTTTGTGTTCGTACATATGGAGCAAGACTTTCTGGCGTTTAGAAAAGTCCAAGTAATTTCTAGATAAGAAAGAATTCTCTTCTCACAACAGTCATCTCATTGAGATGTGAAGAGCTGTGTGGATTTGAACATGTTTCAGCCATTCTCTGTGTCATATGAATGAAGGGTGCGCATTCCCATTGCTATAACACCACTGATATCCAAGGTTACCAGCTCAGTTACTTTCTTTTGCATGCATCCTTCAGCTCTTCTGCCTCAGTTGGCTGGCTCAAGACATCCTAATGTAGAACGATGTATTTGAAAGTTTTGTGAACAGCGCTTTCAGACCTTAATATTTTGGGTTACAATGTTTGCCTGCCTTAGAGAATGTCTTTGACTCTCACTAAAAAAGGCAATGACTAAATACGACTTGTTCACTTTTATTTGGAATATAGCTTTTCAGTGCTATCTTCATGTAGAAAAATTGTGTAGTTTTCTTTTCTTTTTTTTTTTTTTTAATTTACATGTAATGTTCCGGTTTAGACCCTGAAGTCTATTCTAATAACCTTCCTGCCACTCATCTACCAATTAACCCACAAAAAGTTTGTCTCTAGTTAATTTGCCTACTAATTGCTCAAATTTGCCTAACCTAAACAGAATTTAATTGGAGTTGTAAGACAGAGATTAGTGGAATTGTCAGGTTTTCAGCAAAACAAAAAATCTTTCTCCCAAGCAGGAGTGTTCTAAATACATTCTCTTATTTAGGTACCATTGCATTCCTGATTTTTAAAAAATGATTTAGCCAGAAGTAAATTATGATAACTTCTTTGGAGAATGATAGCATTTATCCTCATCCTACATCTATAAGGACAGCTTGAAATCAGCTTAGACAGGCTTGAGAGATACTACCCTGGGCGAAAAGTTTCAACTTTTTCAAACATTCTGGTAATCATTGTTTTATTTTCCATGCCATTCATTCATTTAACACATACTTCACCCTTTTTTTTCTTGTCTGTTTCCCTCTTTCACTCTTGGATTGCATGAATCACCTTCACTACCATGCTTCCTGTGAGTCCTTTCTTTTCTCTCTAAACCTTCTGTATTGTTAAAAAAGTCTCATGTCTTAAAAAAGATTACTTGCTATCTTGAACGATTTGCTTATCCTATAGTTGGGCCTTATCTGCTGAGAATTGCTCCAAGCATTACCATTAATGTCAATAATTCCTTTAACTTCTCTGTATTCTCATATACCTGACTCCCCACCCTTTTTCTAGGAAATTCTAGCTATTGCTTAGACTAGCTGTTCACGACCATCCCAATCGTCTCCCATCCAATAACTTTCCTATTCACTTGCAGCGTAGGATTCCTTTTAGCCTAGTGTAGAAATGATTTTCTCTTCCTTGCATCCCATGTTCCTGTTTATTACAGCTTCTTGAGATTTTCATTCTGTGACTTTTTTCCCCACCCTGCCTCACTACTCTTACACATTTCACCTAAATAAAGATGTATACTTCAAGCACTATAACTTTGATGGACTGTACTGTTCTTTCAGATAGTGGATTTCACACCACTTGGATATTACAGATATTGTATGTAGAAGTTTACATAATTTTGTTGTTAAAGTTTTCTTAGAAAATATTAGATTCTATCTATTTTTTTCCTTTCTTTTGGTCAGTGACCTGATTGTTACTTCTTATTGTCTTTTTACTGCTAAGGAATACACCTTACCTACTCCATACCTCAGAGAACTATGGGATATTTTATGTGATTATGTGATAGTGCTTCTGACACTTAAATGCATAACATTTCACCCAGTTTAAAGTTACTGAGTTCCCCTATTCAATACAATATCAAAGAGGAACGAATGAAAGGTAGTGGTTCACCATGCAAGTGGTAATTAAGCTATGAGATGCCTTGCTGCATGACATTGGAGGTGCTAAGACACAAGATCAAGGGCTGCATAAACTTTAGGTCTGATGCGTCCATGTCTGTCAGACAAATGAAAGTTTTATGCTGGGAGAAACTGTAAATCATTTGTCCATGTGTTTCTTCACAAAGATTAAAAAAAATTAATAACTAACCAAACACAGCATTCCAGAGTAGCAGTAACCTTTCTCCTCAGATGTAGTAACCTTTCTTCTCAGATGTGATCAGACCATGGGATATGGCCAACGTTGTTAGCAGTTACTGTTTGTTTGGGTTCACTGTAGTCTAGGTGGGCAAACTATCTGGCCCGTATTCTCGAGATGTTTTGCAGCCCTATATTCATTACATGAGATACGATTTAGTAGCCAAAAGCACACAGACACAAGCAGAGCTTTTAGTTGGGCTAGCTGGCAATCCAACTAATGAAATCAGTGTGTCACAAGAATCTGTCAGAGGTAACCTCTGACTGGATTCACTTCACGAAACACAATACTAGCACCGTCTGAAATGCCCCGGCCTTTCCTAGCTGCCCTGAGATGTCAGTCCAGGACAGTCTTGTAGATCTTATGTCACCTTGCCAAAGTCATATCAGTGCCTTCAAAACCCTTGTGCAGCTCAAATGGCACTTGATGCCTATGTCAAAGGAAATTACTTGACCAGAAAGGTTATGATTCTACATGGTATTTTTATGTTAGTGTGCGCTGTGCTAATACGGTCTGAAAGCTGTATATTTGTTATAAAAATTCTCCTTCCAGCATTTAATAATGATATATTTATATTGTAGAAGAAGATTATTCTGAGAATAGAATTATCTCTTGTCCAGAAATTACTTTGACTTTTCTAAAGGCCAGAAACTGTTGGGTTTTTTTCCCCAGAGGTAGGCAGAAGCTTGTCTTTTTTTAAAGCAGTCTTTTATGTTTTCTTTTTTTCTTTTTCTTTTTTTTTGAATGACTGCCAAACTATCTTCCCAGTTCCCACAGTCTGGGTGTCTCCATTCTCCAGCAATAGGGGACAGGTGATTTATTCTTTGTGTAATGCTGAGATTGTAATCACAGCAGTAAGAAATTCTGGTCCATAGATTTCTACGGAAAGCAGGCTTTGCCCTTCAAAATACATATACTTGATCATTAAAGAAATCTAACTATTACCTTGTAGTAGACATGCTCAAAGCTACATAGATCAGATAACACTGCATATATTTAGCTTGGACCACCCCTAATGTAGGATAGTGCAATAATTTTATTTCAGGTAAACAGACAGTAGATGGTCCCTACTTTTAGTTTTGTCCTTTACAGCTCTGGGAATGTTCCAAACCGCATATCTTTGGCATCTGATGACCTATCAAAATTACACCTTGAACTGTATAACAATCATGCCTTCTAAAAAGTGGCATAACAACTTAAGTAACCTCCAAAAAAGTTACAATTGCTGTAATTCAAAACACATAAGGTGAATAATCTTCCATGGTTACTTAAGGCACTGTTGTGAAAAGTTCCCTGGCATAGGGTATGAACAGAATAGGCTGCTGCACTCTGCAGTTTCGCAGCTGTATTTTATCATCTGTGATAAATTTATAGAGAGTCTTCAATGATTATGTACATGCTTACACTTTATAAAACCTTAGCATAAAAAAATCACCAAAAAAATCTCTATTGAGACAATATCACTGTTACTGAAAATCCTGATTAGCTGAACCACTTCTTCCAAACTCAGACTATACAGGGAGTTATGAAAGGGAATTATTCAGTGAATCATAGAGATCGCTTGCTGGTACTGATAGAAACTGGCATTAAGTTAGGAGTGGAAGATATAAGTGTCAAAAACACCAAAATAAGTTTAAAAAGTGGAAATCATTGAGATTCATGAAATCACCGGACTC